CAACCAAATCATAACTCTCTTTGCCCCATTTGCTCTAGAATTACTTCTCTTTGCTTCATGGTCCTATGTCGCCCCCTGGTGATGAGCTACAATTTTACAGGATTTTTTTTTTAAATCCAATGTGAAATTAGATAAAATATGTTGAAACTGAGGTATTTGTTTCTAACAACTATTAATACATCCGGTATCTCTCCAGGCTGGGAATAGCTTCCCTCATCCAGTGAGATTACTCTGTGAGCCTCCCATTGATACTTTCGGCCTACTGTACTTCCTTGCCTACCAAAGAGACAGCCAATGAATCAAAGGCAATGGTAACTCCTGTGACTCTTTCTCTAAGTTGCAGTTTGCTCTTTTTCACTTCTTTTTCTTTGACTAGGAACTAGAGTTAGAGAGCTGGAGAGAGGTGAGAACAAGAAACTAACTGTGGCAAGAACTCAGCATCATTTCCCTCACATGAATTGTTGGCTCTAACACCTCAAGTGAAGGTACTTTAATAGCCTGCTTGGGTCTGCTGTTGATCATGGCTTAATAGCTCAATGGCTGCAGGTAGGTGACATGACTTGTTTATAGAAAGATTATAGTTATATAGCACCTATTCCTCACAGGTTGTACCAGCTACTTAATTGCTTCTTGGCCTATCTCAATGTTTTGTCGTTGACTTATAAGATCCAGCATAGTTTGAGACAAAGCATTTGATGGAACATATCTCCTGATATGCACCAGTCCAGGCTAACAGCTTTGGAATGAGACTTTCTTATGATCATTTTATCTGAATTTAGGTTTATTCAGATGTGATGCTCTGGGTATGAAATTTGCTATCTTTGGAGGAGTGTCCAGTGCCTTTACTACTGTGAATCCACCAGTTACTTAAAATATATCTCTTTGTTTTTTATTTGTGCTGTGCTTGTCTTGCTTCTGATTTCAGGCTATTGTTTTACCTTTTGGTTTTCAGTTTTGATACTTTGTAGGTTGTTCTAAATTTGTCGATCTAATCACTGTTATTTTTCTATGGAATAACTTAAACATTACTTTCCAAATGATCTTATTTATGCAGAGATAAATCCTGGTTATGTACTGTGCCTTCTTGCAACAACTAAACAGACAAGTAAATTTTGCTGAACTCTGTTGTCCTACTTCCCCAAAGGATTTTTAATTCTGATTTGAAGGAAAAACTACTGCATGTATTAGAACACACACTTGCGCTTTATATTGGGGCTTATTTTCAGACCTTGGAAAAAGTTCTTTATCCCACTGCTTCCTTCTAGTCCAGAAATTTACAAGTCCTGACATGCTAGCTGTTATGTTTTGGGATCGGTGAGGCATTGACGAGGCGATTGGTGCAAACAACAACTCGTTTATTAGGTTAACACAGAAGCGGCACTAACTGCCGCTTAACCACTATTTATACTGATCACCGCTAGGCGGCAGCCAATAGAATTAAAAAAGTATTTCCCGCTTAAACACAAGCTAACGAACATGTAGACAGTCTGGAGTTTAAACAGGTGCAGCCGTTTGACCGTTTCCAACAGTTTCCAAGTAATTCACAACAACACATAACACTAGCCCCACCCTCTTTCAAAACAGGTGAAAAGAAGATTCTCTTGGGACCACCACATCTAAAGGTATGCATCTTCCTGGAGGCTTACCATGCCCTAAAATCCTCTTCAGAACGTTTCTCTGGTTGCCCTTTTCTCCTGAGATGCAGTCAGTGGTGGGATTCAAATATGTGAACAACTGGTTCTCTGTGTGAATGCCGCTTCCAGAAGTCCATTCCTGGCCTGGGCAACAAAAAATTAGTTACCGGTTCTGCCGAACTGGTGCGAACTGGCTGAATCCCACCACTGGATGCAGTGAATGGCTGCTGGGAGATTGACCACCAGAATTCTGGAATTCCCTCCCTTGAGACTGGTACCAGACTGGTATCTGGTTTGTTAGCTTTCTGATACCTGGTAATGAAGTGTCCTTTATCTTTCAAGAGGAATGATGTTCAGAAGTTGGGTGCCACAGCAGGAAAGGATTTTCTTTAGGGCCTTGCCAGCCAGCACTCCTTGGTCAATGCTATTAGCAATATGCCTCTCCTGTCCCTTTGGACAGGTAGAAACAGTCAGAAAGAGATGGCTCAAAAGCTGAGGCTGTAATTTTATTACTTTTATTCTACTGCACAGAAAAGAGCTGGAAGTTAATACTTTCCCCCTTTCCCTTTACCTCACACTTCTCTCTTCCCCTTCTTTTCCTCCCCCTCTTCTCTACTATTTTTATTTTCACTTGTATTTTACATGTTGATAATTTCAAAAAAATTACATATATAAGAAAGAGATGGCTTCGTAAGTAATCTGGCTCTACATTGTGGGGCTACCAGTACCTTGAAAGGCACTCAAAAGCAGGCTGGTGTCACATGTGCCAAATAACCGGCCCATTAGCCACCAGTGTTCTGCGCCATTGGAACTATCTGAAGGCTCTTCAAGGGCAGCCCCAGTGGTGGGATTCAGCCAATTTGCACCAGTTCGGCAGAACCGGTAGCTAATTTTTTGTTGCCCAGGCCCAGAATGGACTTCTGGAAGCGGCATCCACACAGAGAACTGGTTGTTCACATATTTGAATCCCACCACTGGGCAGCCCCATGTAGTGTACATTGCAATAACCAAGTCAGAGGTCACAAGAGTATGAGTGACCTTTTTTTCTTCCATTAATAGATTTATGCAGTAATTTTAATGGAGTGTCCAGTGACTCATAGATGGCATAGCATGAATTTAGAAGGATGAAAAGTTACCTTGCGCTAAGATGGGTGGCCTATAAATTTAATAAATAAATAAATAAATAAATAAATAGATAGATAGATAGATAGATAGATAGATAGATAGATAGATAGATAGATAGATAGATAGATAGGTAGATAGATAACTACTTTCAAAAATGTCTGAGCTACTGAGAAGGGTTAAAATGATATTTGCTGATTTATATTTTGACCATGCTTCTCCTGTATCAAATAGACCTTCCTGTTATTTATCAGCTTTACCTTCATCTAACAGAAATGCAGTTGATCAACTTGGTAGCACTATGCAGAATTTTGAAAAGTAGTTCTAACCATCAAAACTGAATCAGTTATATGTTTCCTCTGCCTACAAAAATATTTCTAGTATTTGGGGTTTGTTAGCAGTTTTACACTATTCTACATTTGCTCAATCTCACCAATAGCTGAGATTACTAGTTTACATGTGCCAAATTTTATGTTGGAATAGATAACACATTTTATGACAGTGAAGCTTGGAAAGTAGCAGCATTTTAAAAGAAACTTCACTTGATATCTAATGTAAGAAAAACATTGTCATTCTAAAAATACTAGTTATTAGTATTACGTTGATGAAAGGGATCAAGTGAGACAACAGATGACTCTTTTTTCAGTTCACAGAACTCCAATTCTTTATTAATCACAGCTTGCTCACAATGACATACAGGAAAATAGCACTAATGAAGAGTAGAATACGCAGGCAGCAATTTCCAGGAGAGTTTGGGATACCTTCAAGCTGGCAGAAGCTGTTTCAGACAGTATGTGTATTGAGTTTGGTGATACTATTTGACACAAGCACCTTGGCTAGTCATCCTGACTGCTTCAGCCCTCATCATTTAGATAGTGTTTTAAAAGTAGGCAGGACAGACTAACACTATAGAGCAGAAGTTAGTAGGATTAAGACCAGCTCACTGATTTGGGATGAAAAATAGCACACGGAAGATCTTGCAGTGTTACGAAATCACAAAGCTTAAGGCTGGAATTCTGTCTGCAAAGATGTTCATGGTCTCTTCACAGATTTTAGCAACTGGAGACAAGACAATATGCCTATTTCCCAAACTGATATCCTTCAGATACTTTGGGGTTATGGAGCTTCGGCAACTGCAATCTAGGAATTGTAATGCCACCACAAGAGGGATGGACCAGGTTTTGAAAGGCTAGAGCAGTGTTTCTCAACCTCGGCAACTTTAAGGTTTGTGGACCAACTCCCAGTATTCTCCAGCCAGCATTGCCAGTTAGGGAATTCCGGGAGTTGATGTCAACACATTGTAAAGTTCCCAGGGAAAAGCGTTGGATTAGAGCCTAAGATAATGAAACGGACTGCAGCTTCTATACCTATAAATTCCATGAATTTCTCTGGCAGCGAATCTGAAACTGGGAAATTTTGGAATCTGGCCAAATATGGTTGTTCCCTCCCTACTGCATACAATGCCTTTTTAAAAGTATCTATTATCTATTCCCCTTCTTGTTGGGAAAATTCTTTTTTCTTCTAAACTTAAGACATGCAGCTTTACTGAATACTGTTTTATACTACAATAAATCCTGATGTGTTCTAAAAGCTTTCTCCTTTAGATGGGGGATAAATTTCACTGAACCCTCTGGAGCTTGTTTCTGTACAGCACAGCTCTGTTTTTTCTGTAGAAGAGCACTGGAGTTGTAAATAAATTATGATTTCTTAATGTTCCATGACTTCATTTTCTAGACCATTTAATCAAATAAGAATGCCTACTTGTAATTGGCTTATTGACTTAAGCTTATTGATTGCAAAGCTTTCCATGTTATTAAGTGATGACGCGACAGTAGCACCATAGACCTTCTGCTGACTTGGTTTTCAGTTAGAATGAGTATACAGTTTGGCATGGATTTTGCTGCAAAGAACTTCATAGCAAAGTTCTAACAAATGTAACTGAATGAAAACAGACGACATCAAAAGCCTGTTACAGGACGTGTAAAGATTATGAAATAACTTGCATAATGCAATACTTGTATTTTTTAACAAAAATGTAAGTATTTACAAAATAAGATCCAAGTTTTAATTTTAAACATCAAGCAAATCATTCTGCAAAGACTGCATTGTTTTAATTGTTTTGTTTTGTTTTTATTGAGTTCTTGATTCATTTTTTTAAACCATGTCATACATTTCCTATACTAATATTTCATGATCTGTAATAATATAGGCAGGGGAGCTATCCAACTCCCTCCTCCGCTGGGCTCAGCCAGACAGTTCCACCTGGAGCTCCTTGTTTCTGCGAACCTCTGCAGCATGCCTTTCCTGGGAATAAAAGGGGAAAATAAAGTAGAGACAAGTTTAACATCCACCTTACTCTTTTTTTTCCAGGAAGAATGTTAAATGGCAACAAGATTTGGCCATGAACTTTAGCTTTAAAAGGGCTACAAAAGAAGCATTCTGAATGAAGTGGGACACAACTCTTGTTCTTTGATTCATGACAGGAGAAGAATAGAAGAACAGAGTTGGAAGGAACCTTGGAGGTCTTCTAGTCCAGCCCCCTGCTCAAGCAGGAGACCCGTACCATTTCAGACAACAGATTGCAAGCAAAAGAAATAACAGAATTATGGCGATTGCCTTCCTGCCCTTTTCTTTCAGGACAAGTGCTATTCTGAATCTGGTTTACAATGTACTCTCCAGTTGATTTGAAACGGTTTTATTCACAAACTGAATAAAAGAAAGAAAGAAAAAAAAAACAGAACAGTTGGACTAAGCATCTAGTGCCTACTGGAATGCAGAAGACAACATGTGGATTGAAACTTCACAACACAAAACTAGGCCTTGTGTCCCTGTCTCATGAGATAAGATGCAGACGGGGTCTGCGTTGCCATGTGATAGTTGTTCATCCGCCCTACCCCTCTGCAGATACCTAGGAGTTTTAATACAGTAAGTCTTTGTGTGTGAAAAGTCTATATTGTGTGAAATCATGTGCCTGCTTCTTTCCCCAGAATCAGGAGTTATCTAAATATTTTGCTAGATTAATGAACATATTATTTATGCCCATAAATTTATGCCCATAAATCCTGGTATTCACAGGAATGACTGAGAGCTAAAAGTATGGAAGAGTACAAGATCTACAAATGAGACATCACATCAGTTCAATCCTGAACTTAATGTACTTAGTGTGAATATGCTTGGAAATGTCCTGCAATCACACAACTGATTTATGAAAATTGCTAAACTGGAGAGAGCTTCTAAGCATATTCATTTTAATGCTAATAAAGGTTTGCTTCAAGCCTGCTTCATGAAAGTCAAGGACAACGTGTGTGCAAGGAAAATATAGGCAAGAATGAAACTAGGGTGCAATTCCTCAGTTTTAGCACTCAGACATTCAGATAACCATCCAAATAGGGCTAGTCTATATGCTCGAAATGCCCAATTTATAGAAATGAAGTATGTTGAAAGGTAAGAGAACCATAGATGAGAGGGTTATACTGCATGCAGGACCTTACTTCCATGCCAGGCAAAATGTGTCTATATTTGTGATCCCTTTTATCCACCTAAAGGGAAAGGTTGACATATTTATGCATTTTAAAGCATGAAGCTTTTCATACAGTTCAGCTGTGCCTAGCCTGGTACTCTCCGATGTGCTCTATTTCAATCCCAAGAATTTCCAGGATTTTGCAGGTTGAAAGCCAAAATACTTAAGAAGGTGACTGGCTGGAGAAGAGTGCACAGATTAGTTAAGACAGTATTCTGAATTCACAAAAGAAGAGGGATGAGTCTTTCTGAGCCATGTTGAATCAGCAGGGGCTGGGTCAGGAGGAGGAGGGTCACATACAGGAATGTGACAGGAATTTGACTGAATAGTCAGAATGTTCATCCTCTTTTCTTTTTTTTTTAGCCTGCTGGCCCATTCACTTGAGCATAAATAAAAATCTTACCTAACTCAAACACTACTACTTAGACATCCCTGCTCAACATCTGAGTAGAATTCCTCTCCCTGCCACCCCAGGGGCTTCCTCAGATTTGTTTGGCTGAATCTCAGTTTGCTTTTTGTACTTTGGTTTGCTCCCAGCCTCGTTACCTTCTCCTGAAGACGTTCAACAAGAGCAGCTAAGTTAGCTTCACGGTTTTCTTTGATCTGTTCCATTTTCAGTATCAGTTTTTCCTCTGCCATTTTGCTGAAGTTATTGTTCTCCTCCAAAGCCTTCTGCAGGACTTCTCGCTCATGTTCTCTCTTTTCTGCCAGTTGTTTCAGCACCTGGGCCTCCTGGGACTGTATAAAGTTAAGAAATAAAAAAAATGAGCCAGTCAATTACAAAAACATTGAAAGAGAATAGATTCAGTGTGTTTCTAAAGTTCAGAGACAAAAGATGGCTAATTGTGCTGAGGTAAAAAAATTGGCAAGTACAGGTTTTCCTCTCATTGTGTGACAAGCAAGATAGAATAGAATAACAGGGTTGGAAGGGATCTTGCAGGTCATCTAGTCCAAGCCCCCCACCCAAGCAGGAGACCTTACACCATTTCTGACTGATGGCAATTTCTACAGGATTTCTACAGCAATTAAAAATTTCTCTGAATATAACTAATGAAAGCACAGAAGCCCCAGCTTGCTTTGCATTAGGTCACACTCAATGGACATGTTCATTCAACAGGCTTAACTAAATCAGTTAAACCCCTAGTGACTGTACACATGGAAGTTAGATGTAACTTTGCTTTTGTGGGCGTGGGTGTTTGTGTGTATTTGGTTTAGACTGTTTTTTGGGTTTAGACTTTTTTGTTCATTTATGGTCTAATGTAGGAGGGCACAATGGCTCAGTGGTTAAATCTTAGAAAATTGATTAATTCATTGCCATAAAGTATAAAATGTGATGCCAGCCTCGATATACTTTTCTTTGTCCTAAAGCTTATCAGTTTCTCATATCTAAAAATAGTATTTGGGTTGAAAAGCAAATATCATTAGGATTACAGATTCATCTTAAAACCCAATATTCATTTTATAAATCTAGTATGGGTTAGAAAAAAAAGAGTATACAGTAATCAATTATTACATTTTCCTGCTTTCAAAGGAATTTACCAGACTAGCCACAGGTCTAGCAATACAGATTTCCCATATACTTGTGTATGATAGTTTAATAAGGACAACTCAGGACATATGCATCTATAACTATTCTTGCTAATGAACTACATCCCAGTAATTTACCATTACCATTACTTGTTTATAGAATATAATAGAATTAAAGATGTAAAAAAGCCATGATGGATCAGATCAAAGGTCTACCTCATCTTAGTATTCTGTTATCAATAGGAAGACCTGGAGGAACATTGTCCATGGGGTCGCGATGGGTCAGACACGACTTCGCAACTAACAACATCATCAATAGGAAGCCAAATGCTTAAGGAATCTCACAAGCCAGAAGACCTTGCCCTAATGGGCAGTTAACATGTTTGTTTTTCCTGTATGTCCAATTGAGTGGCAGCACAGCTGAGCAGGATTGGATCAGAAATGAAAGCTACCAGAAACTACAAGATTTATACATTGCTTTATATTAGCAATGACAATGTCATGAAGTTACAAGAGTTAAGCTCAAATCAAAGGGGGCTATTTATTTTATCATTTCACTATGTAAATATTAGGAATTACTCTGTCTTCTTTGGACCATAAGAATGGAGAGAAAATTAAATATTTTTTTTTCCTTTAAATTTTGAAACTCTCAAAAAGATCCAGACTGAATGTAAAACTGATACAATCTCTGGTGGCTAAATTTACAGAATACAGAATAACAAAGTTGGAAGGGATCTTGGAGGTGTAATCCAATCCCCTGCTTGAGCATGAGACCATATACCACTCTGGACAAATGGCTGTCCAATCCCTTCTTAAAAACCTCCAGTGATGAAGCATCCACAACTTCTGGAGGCAAGCTGTTCCACTGATTAATTTTTCTGTCAGGAAATTTCTCCTTAATTCTATGTTGGATCTCTCTTTGATAATCTTCCATCTCTTCTTGTCCTACCCTCAGGTGCTTTGGAGAATAGGTCGACCCACCTCTGTGCCAAATATTGGAAGACTGCTATAATTTCAATGAGTTTGATTTAGATATATCAGCAAACCAGCAAAAAAGCAATATTTTTCATAGAACTTTCTTAAATAGAAAGTTTATCTTAAATAGAATTTTCAAACCCCAAAAATGTATGGGTAACAACCACTAGTATTTTCTCAAGAGTAGCAAAATTCTGTGACATCCTCACCCCACCTCAACAATGAAAATAAATATGAGCAGTAGCCATTGGCATAGGGACAAATTAGAAGGCAGTTGGAGGGGTGATGCATTTTAGAGGACCTTAGTGTTCTCCGAGCTTGGTTGTTTTCTTATAGACATTTCATTAGTCAAATTAGGTAACAGCATCTGTGCTAGCAGGGAGTGGGGTTTGCTTTCATTTCATATTCTAGTGACATGCCCTGTCAGTGTTGGTGGGAATGGACTTGGTGGTTCTTTAGTTGGGCTGTTGATTAGAGAGGAACATAGTTTCAGCTGGGGAATTGTGACCATCCCAGGCCAAGTCCAAAAATGCTACAGAATTCCTGGAAGCCTGGCAGTCTGACAAATCAGCCATCAACAGGCATATAGACATAAACAACATCTATATACCATTCAAAAGAGACAATCAACAGGCCAAAAGAGAAGCAAAAAAGACCAAAACACCTCCTCACCAGCAGTCAACACCCAGATGAGCCGAGATTAACATCAAGATTAATATTAGACCAACAGTCAAGAAGCAGACAATACCCCAAAGGAATTACCAGACATGTAACAGTAAACAGCCCAACCATAGAACCATCAAGACTATTCCCACCAATTGTCATGCCTCTGTCTGAGCCTGACTCTGAGGACGACATGGAGTTCCCTGTTGAGGCCCAGGAGGGGGTGTCTGTGGCTTCGGAGGACTGTGGGGAGGAACAGGCTGAAGCAGGCCAGGGCCCTTCAAGTTTGGAACAGGGAAGGCAGAGCTCAGGCGAGGAGCAAGGCCCCGCCCCACCAGATCCCAGAGCAAGGAGAGCAGAGAGGAGGAGGGAACAACGGAGGCAGGCTCACTTGCTCGGGAGGAGAGCGTCACGCCCTACTTTACAAGGCACACCTGGGGAGTAGGCATTTAAGGAGACGCTGTGGGGTGGGGCATTTGCTGGGAACAAACGTGAACTCTTGTGATGTGAGCTCTTGTACTCTTTGTATCTTGGATCAAGTTTGTTTCCTGCTGAGTTTTCCTTGCTGTCTTCAGTTTTGCAGTTTGCAGATTACAGGCAAGATGGGCATTGAAAAGATCATACTTTGTTTGTAATCTGTTTTACTTTAAAGAACTGTTGAACTCCATTGACTGTTTTATTGAACTTGTGCCAGCATATGTGGGGGCTGTTGGGTGAACGTTGGCAGTGCTTACAAAGACAATTATTCTGACCAGCTAATTGCTTTGCCTCCGTTCGGGGCCCTGGGTCATCACACCAATCCTGACAAGGCAAGCCACTACAACAGGGGTGTCAAACTCGCAACATCACATGACGTGTTGTCACATATCACAACTTTTTTCCCATTGCCGGCAATGGGGTGGGCGTGGTTTCGGCATGACGCATCTGGCCCGTGGACTAGCAGTTTGACACCCTTGCACTAGAATATAAAATGAGAACAAGCCTCACACCCTATTAAACTGAAGATGTTACTTGGTTTGAGTAATGAAATATCTGCAAGAAAACAATCAAGCTCAGACAGCATCAAGGACCCCGCATTTCAATCATAAACTACAAATATTGTCCTCTATCCATACCCTTTTAGGCTTTATCCCAGAACAAATAAGGCCAAAAATATTTGGCCTGTGTTAAAATGTAAAGAGATCAAAAATTAGAAGAGGAAAGGAGTGGAATGGGAAATGCTATACTGTTATACACACTCATCAAAATTACCTTCCATAAATATTATTTATTCTGAATAAACTACTGTTTATTCTCAGATGTCTATGCATAGAACAATGGTTTATGTCAAATCAAACACTTTTATTATGTTCATAGATTAGAAAATACGAATTATGTCTCAGTAAGTAATGAAAACAGTTAAAAAGAGAGAAAAAAGAGAATTTAGCAACCCTAGACGATAAATAGCTAGAGAACTAGGAGCATAATTGGATTCTCAATTATATAATTTGCTATTGACACTTGTGCATGAGGCTGACACTACTGATTAATAAACACTAATGTAATTACTAGGGAGAGGTTTAATTCTAAGACTGTGTGAAATCAATTAACAAGTTTAAAGCTATTTTCTTTGGTAAGGTGTTCCTGGTTTAAGGAGTTTTTTACTAGCTTAATTCTGCCCTAGAATCTCAGTAACCTGGTCACGCTTCTACACTTCAGGTAGATGTAATAAACACAGGTTTCTGGTAATCTAAGCTGATTTTTTTATTGTGAAGTACAAGTCAGAAAAACCTGTATCTATGTGATTAGCAATCCTTTTAACACTGAAACTCTCAAGTATTTGGCTGATCTTAAGTTATAATTTCTTGCATTTTTAAACATGGATATCATTGTATGCATCATAAATGAAATACATAAAGATTCAGTTCTAAACACGCAATATGAGATTTAAGAAAAATTACGTCAGTTCAATAACACACATATGTCATAGATTGCAAATGAAAGCTTAAAATAACCCAAGAAATACCATCATGCATTCAGTCTACTGTATATATGATTAGATACCTTTCTCCTTTCTTCTGCAGCTTCCAGCTTTTTCTGGATCTCTTCAAGGGACAAATCTTTCTTCTTTGGAGAGGGCATGGTTCGTGGTGCTTCAGAGACTGGAGATGGCGGCTTTAAGATGAGTTCAAAAGCTTGGCCAGAGGCACGTTTGTTGATATGTTTGACTTCCATATCTGTGAAGGTAAAGTTAAAATATCTAATTCAAATGGTATATCAATAATAGACAACTTAAGGAAATGTAATGACCATAAGTAAGCGATATGGGTAATTTTCACTAAAATGAGTGCTAGAGAAAACGCAATGCACTATACAGATGGCTTATATTAATAACAGGGTACTACACAATTTTCTTTTGGGCTTGCAAGGATGTACTTTTTTTTTGCTTAGGAGCCACAAAAAGAAATTGATACTACTAGTTTGAAATCATTGTAATAGGCTGAATTTTTTTGGTGGGGGGGAAAGGTTAAGGTATAAAATTGGCATCCTTGCAGGCGTTTAACACACTCATTCAGTCACTTAAACCTCTTTCCAAACTAGAGAGAATTGATGCAGTTATTGAGAGTCTTAATTTATCTCAAGCCAATCAAAATGAAAATAAAAAATAAAATGAAAGGTCTATTGGGACTCTATGAATGCAAATAGGTCTGTGATTACTACAGTAATGAAATCAATGACAAAATATACATCTTTTAGGTCCTCAATTAATGTTTTAGGAACTGTACCCTCTGCTTTCCTAATATAACATGATATTACTAAGAAGAAAAGAAAATGTACATCTTTTCATATTTTAATGAGACTAATATTAAAATATAAAATATTGAATATGCATTAAGAATATATTTCCTTTCTCTGGAAACTGCATGGTCAGTTATGATGCAACTAATGTAATAATTAGTACATTGTAGACACTTTGTAATTATGGTAAAACCTAAGACTTCTCTAAGTGAATATAAGCCATCTTGCTTTACTGAATATAATGTTTAGATATATTTTATATATCATGATTTAGTTGGATGGTAATAATATTAAAATATTAAATTTAATAATAATATTAAAGCTCTCTTAGGACAAACGGTGAGTATTATAACCCCTGTGCTCAGAGGTATCTGCACTAGCTTCTACCAAGCTCCCTGTTCCTTTGATTCTAAACCCAACAATTAAATAGGAAGTTATTGTACTGAAAAGCAAAATGCCAGCTTTTAGCATACTTTTTACTTACAAGAAGGACTCGGAACTCAATATAAACCCATCAGATACTCTTAGAACTTAAAAATGGTGAATGGGTGCTGATCAGTTCTTTGTAAAACATTTATATTTGCAAAGATACACCAGGAAGATGTGAATGATTAGAACTGCACAAGCTCTTTTGCTATTATGTGGAATTTTGTAATCATAACATGACAGTCATTTTGTGACAGTTTCATGAAATGCTCTCAATTTCCAAATGTGACCAATACAAAGCTTTCCTACCTATGCCATACAAACTTTACATTTAATCAGAAGTCAAATCAATCTGTCCAACATGGTGCTTTCTAATATGTGTGACTTCAGAATCTATAATCCCATGCTGTTTTGCAGCTTGGCAAGAGAAGTCAACATAGTATCTTGTAGCTTCCAGAAATCATTGTTAAATAACAAAACAAGAGGAAAATATGCATCTCCCATGGAAGAACAAATCTTCACTAAGGAAAACAATTGCTGCTGAAATTTACTTACCATCATATGTGTATATATTAATGTTGCGAGATTCTGGGTAAAAACAGGAGCAGATCAAAGAAAGCATGGACAGCTCCTTCATCTTTTCTTTATAAGCTGAAAGGAAAGAGAATGGATTAGTCGTTTCATCTTTTCTGTTTACAGGACATTTTGATATAATTAATCAGCTCAGATTCTAGGCAATGAACGTACATGACAAATTGTAACTTTGGTATCTTTGTGAAATTAATTGCTACTTGATAAAAATATCTAATAAAGTGTGAATTATTTTTAAAAAAGGTTGCTTCTTTATAATTGAAGTATGTAAGAATATTCGCTCTTTCTGCTACATTCTCATTTGAAGCCCACAGTAGTAAACAAGAATAAATATTTCCTTTGTAGGTTCACCTCTACCATTACCTACATTGAATTAAGTTCTCCAGGTACCAAATGTTGCGATGGAAGGAAGCCAATAATGGCACCAAAGCCTTGGATCTCTCTGTTGCAACTATTTGCCATATTATCTTTCTTGAGTCTTCCAAACTAGTGTCAGACATGCCATGAGCTATCCTGGTTGCCAGCTTTAAAGGAAATTCACTCAGACAGGTGACCTGACTGGCTCAGCTCTTATTCATTGTCATAATGTTGCTTTATTTTTGAGAAGACAAATTGCTAATATTTCCAGAGACAGGAAAGAGAAAATGAGAGACTTTAATTGACCCCTGCAAACAGAAAGCTTCTGGTGGACTAAAGGAATGAAACCTTACTTCAGCCTCACATCTGCACTCTCATGCAGGTTTCTCTGAAGCCATGTTTCTCTAGCTGTTTACTAAGAACACAGGAAGAAATGAAATACACAATGATTATTAAAAGGTAGCTTATGATAGGTTTTCCTCCCAGATGAGAAGTGTCTTCCAACTGATTATTTTGTGGAACATGAAATTACATCCACATCATATCTTCATGTAGCCAGGCACAAGTAATATGTGTTTCAGAACTTTCCCTCAGTTATAACATAAGGAAGTTCAAATACATGTTCAGAGTTACACATATAAAGTCCTTAATAATAATTGTGGCATTGGAGATATAAATAAGTAGGTATACACATACACCCCTAAGCTCTTCTGTCTCCTTGTACTAATAATATATCAGCTTCTGCATACCCTGTCTTGTGATATACTAACTAGGACATTCAGTCCAGCTATGTTGTCCTCCTTACTATTTCCACCTTTGGCATTCCAGTCTCCAGTAAGGTTTGGCACATGTTGCTTGTATGTTCTGTTGGTTTCAGATCAGACTTAATCACAAAATTATCAACTTATTCTTCTGCACCAACTGGAGCATAAACTTGGATAATCACCATATGACAGGATTGTTCATGAAGGCAAAATTGTATTTGTTGGTCATTGACTGTACTGTAGCCTAGTTCCGCCCTTGCTATATTCTTCATGACTGTGAAAAACAGCATCATTTATTTTTTCTTTTTGTGTCCTTAGTTATAAACAGCATAATCCTCTGGCTGAACATGGCAAATTCCAATGTATTGCAATTCGCTGCTGCCTCAAATGCTAATTTCATACGTTTCATCTTCCATTGTTGAGCTTTCCCATGTTCATTTCATCTTCCATCTGCATTTATATCTTTGCAGCTTTATTTTTTCTTGTAGGGCAACATCAGTAGCAGGATATCCTGATTTTAATCTAGCCACATCTTAAACACTATTAGTATTCCAAAAGATTTAACATACTTCCTAAGTAGCATATTGAGTGCCATCCAAAACAGTATGAAATGAAGTCTTTGCCATTGTTACTGAATTCACCACCCATGTCTGGCTTCATTGCTGCTTAATATATTTTTAGTTTTTAATATTATTTTAATTATTAAAATATAGGAGACAGAGGAGCACTAGAGCAGGGTTACTATCTATTTTCAGTCAATTAGTTTACAAAATATGGCTCACTTGAAGAGTTTCCTCCTAGCTTGAGTGAGAAAAATTTGCTTTTCTACCGGAAAGTGGCTAAGATCACTGAATGGTTTCATTAGAAGAAATCAGATAATGCTCACATTCTTTTATGCAAAGGAATGGAATCTATGCTCATATGAAAGAAGCATTATTTATTTGTTTTCTTTATTAATCACATTTGTACCCATCACCATTCAGAGACTCATGATAGCTCTGATTTTCTGAATGGGTCTGATTATATCTTCTTCCACAATTAGCACTAGTTGAGAAGATTGCATAATTAGTTCTCCAGGATGGATGCATTAATTTGTATACATTTACTAACAGAAATAAACGTTTTAGAGAGAAATCCCACCCCCACCATAATTAGACCAAAATGTTTGCAAGGATTTATTATTATTATTATTATTATTATTATTATTATTATTATTATTATTATTATTATTATTATTGTTGTTGTTGTTGTTGTTGTTGTTATGATGAAGTATCTTTCAGTAATTCCAGATACTTTGTGTTCACTATTGCACTTTTACATTGTAATAAAACCATGTCAAGGTAAAATCCTGTTAATGACTATCAAACAAACAAACAAACAAACAAACAACAGACTACAGCTACCAGATCAGGGGTGCTAAGATCTCAATGGCCACTATACCATTAATGAATGAGATTCTACATTTAAACAAAATATATGCATTAAATCCATAGACTTACATAACTGTCATGCTATTCCCTTTACAACATTATGCAAAATGAAGGAAAGGAAAGGGCTATTCACTAGACTTCTCCATATCTTTTTGTCCTTGTAAAGCTTCTGTGCTCTCATTCATAATCTCCTTCATACATTCCCTTTTGTTGTTTAAATTTCTCATTTCTTGCTTTTTGAGAATCAGGTGAACTCCATCCAAACATGACTTTCCTCATCTTCTGCTTCCTCTTGACACAATCACTGTTATTTCACACATCTGTTTTGTGATTTATCCTCTCCATATAATCAAACTGCCTTAGTGTACCCCTTTCACATTGACACTAACACATTGACATTAACACATTCCTTCAGCATCCATTCATTCTTGATCCAATCTCTACTTGTCTTACTATACATCAGACATGTCAAACACAAGGCGCGGGGGCCGGATGCGGCCCCCAAAGTGGTTTCATGTGGCCCGCGAAGCCATCCTGGAAACAGTGAGGGAATGGCCCCCGTTGCCTTGGCCCTGGCCCAGGCTGGCCGGGAGCCAATGTACAATTTTATGGTGGCCATCTATGCTGAAATGCATTCAGTCTTAGCTCCACAAGGCCGTCTGGAAACAGCGATGAACCAGCCCCTGCCACATCGGCCCCGCCCCCTGGGTGCATGCTGGGGAGGTGTCACCTTTGTGAGGAATGAAGAAATGCACCATCGCACTGGCCACTTCCAGGCGATGGTGCATTTCTTCATTCCTCATGAAGGGTGACACCTCCCCAGCTGCATTTCTTGCCTGTTTTTCTTCCTCCCTCATCTCAAATATTTTCCCACCACTCTGTAGTTAGGAAGGAAGGAAGAAAGGAAAGAATGAAAGGAGAGGGAGGGTCTCAGGGAAGTCCTACCTTAGTCCTGCCCTGCTGCCCTTTCACCATCCCCTTGCCCCCTCCTCCTGGCCTATCCTGGGGGTCTCCCATCCTATTGCTAAGAAAGCTTTGGATATAAAGCCGGGTCTCCTCCCATGGAGAGGGAATGGGCCTCCCTCTGACTTTGCTCTCGTACCCATCATGAGCAACCTGGGTAAGGAGAGCAAGCACAGCAGCAGCAGCCTTGAGGAGGAGGTAAGTGCAGCTAGGCGCCTCCTTGGGGAAGTGGGGCTGGGCTTGCCGCCGTGGGTGCTCGAGGCCCAGACTGGGTGTTTGACCTCTGCTGCCCTGGGCTCCGGGAAGCCTGTACCACCATCCAGCCCCTCCCTGCATGGCCTGAGAGGAATAGTGAGGCTCCTCCAGTGGACCATGCCTTGGCACTTGCTCTGGTCCCACCCTCTTCTGCCAGAGACCCTCAGATCTGTCCCACTCCTGCCCAGGCCCCCACAGGCACCCTTGACGCGAACAATGCAGAGCTGGCCACGCCCACCCAGTAGGTCACGCCCACTCCATCCATACCCACCCAGTATGCCACACCCAACCTGGCCACACCCACCCAGCCCCCTGAGGGCAACCGCAATGCTGATGTGGCCCTCAATGAAATTGAGTGATACTCCTGCTATACATACTTCTTAAGTATCTCATTACTACTTTATTCAATTTAGGTATCATCTAGCATCTTCACTTCCTTCCAAAATTGGGGATAAGCACATTTTTACACTCAGCTTTTTTCCTTTTTTCCATTCTCCTTCCCACAATCATTCATTCCTCACACAGATCATATACAACCAGTGCCTTTCTCCCAGCATCTTAAAATTTCTACCTCTATTTCCCAAAATTCTATCATATCATCATCATCATCATCATCATCATCATCATCAATCTTGCTCTAGTTTTTATCTAAAAATGTTCATTTCATTTTCTTGTCAAGTACAAATAACTTGGACTTCATTAATTTTCAGATCCATGTTCATCATTGCATCATACAATCTAACATTTGGTGCAAATTATTTAGGTCCTCAGTCAACAGGACATCATCATCTGCGTACAAATGTACATAAACATTCACATCCCCAGACACCAGCCAGCATACCTATATAGCATATGAGAGAGAGAGAGAGAGAGAGAGAGACAGAGAGAGAGAGAGAGGGAGGGAGGGAGGGAGGGAGAAATGGGGAGTGAGTGGCAGAAATATACATTAAACAAACAGGGAACATCACATATCTCAGTCTTATTCCCTGTTCAGCATCAAAGCATTCACTAAACATTATTCATGCTCATGTTTTATTTTTATCCTAAAAGTGTTATCATGCTCAGTAACCAATCTTCAGCTTCATACTTGCTCAGAATTATTCCATAATGCAAAAATTCATGTTATCATATGCTTCTAGCACCCCCTCAATTAAAATTAATCCAAAATCATTTCATCACCTTTATTTTAAATTACTGTCATTCTTCTAGAGAGTTCTAGTTCAGTCCTCTTTATCCAGTTCCAGGAAAATTTAAAACTATGCTTCAGAATTACTCTGTTTTATTTAATCTTA